TATGCTTATTAACAATCTTCCGCTCTCCATCGTATCTAAAGTACGTCTTTGCGCAGATGACTGCTTATTATGCCGTCCAATTATTTCACATAACCATGTGCTCTTACAGAATGATTTATCCACCATAATGACTCGGTGTTCCGATGGCTGATGGCTCTAAATTACTAAAAATGCAAATTCGTCCAATTCACCCGAAAACGATCGATTTCATTGCGCAATATTTTCTGGAGATACCATATCCATTGTACCTTTCACGTCGTACAAGTACATCGGTGTGGTCCTTACATCCGACTTATCCTGGACCGCTCACGTCGATTCCATTTTACTCACCGCTTCAAAAACCTTAGGATACATTCAGGCGTCGCCTACACTCTGTCCCTGCGAATCTTCGAAAGCTAGCCAATCAAACCTTTGTGTGACCAAAACTTGAGTATACCGCTGCCATCTGGCGTTCCCACCAAGCTTACCTCATCAACCAGATCGAATTCCATTAAAAACCGTGCTGCTGGCTACATCCTGTCCAGCTACCAGCGCACTGCAAGCGTCACGGCTATAAAGTCACAACTGGGCCAAAGTAGTGATTATAATGCAATTAAATGAAAAGGTGCAAGCGAGCTGGACAAGAATGACGAAGATAATCCCCAGAGAAGGGGATTATCACCTAGCTGTGTTATGAGATTTTTGTCCCTCTTGTTCCCTTCTCCGGGGATTATTTTCGTCATGTCTAAGTAGGCTGTCCACTTTCCGAAAAACACCAGTACACATCCGCCGGAGACGAAAATACATAATCGGTACAATATATAAAAACACCGGTGGTTGCTATTTCCTTCGCAACTGCCACCCCTCGAGGTTCGTCAAACGTGTTATCTGGTGGATCCTGCAAGGTCGCTTTGGTTCTTGGAAGACACTGCCAACACCGTGGAGAAGTTTAGTTTTCAAGGGCTTCCGGGGCTCGGCTTGATGCATCACCAAGTTTTAGGTTCGCTAGAACTGTTCCACTCCCTTGGCATAAGGTTTGACGCAACGAGCGTGCTGCCATGACGGATGCAAGCCTCTCGAAGTATGCTTGCATCTACTATTTAAGAACCGGCAACGAGCCGTTCGTCGAGAGACAATTTGTAGCAGCGCAGTTAAGGCGTTTCGTCATAGGGCAATTCGTCGCGGTGACAGTTGGTCAGACATATTGCTCCCCAAAGGAAAAACCTCGGATGAGGCCCTACTGAAGCAAATGTTGGGAGTCTTATAGCTGGTTGAATCGCTGTTACTTTCGCAATAGACGCTGTTTGGTTTCCTGGGACTCCGACACAATCCAGGTGCGAGTCCCGGTAACTAATGGAAGACAGCGGCAAATATGCAAGTTTGTCAAAACGAATTTATTTAGAAATTGTCACTCTAACCTATAGATACATCTACTCATAGTGAAATGTTTTGGGCGCACGTGGGTTGTGCATCACCGTATATCTGGATGGAATTGCTCCAGATAGAGCAGGCACTGGCCGGAATGAAGTTAAGCTGCAAGCGGAGTCGTCTCGACAAGGGTGTCCTGGAAGCAAGAAGCACGCGGCAAGAGCCTTCAAGGACTTCTTTGACGCTACAACGGAACCGACAGCAGACAATCACGAGGCGTGTGCCCGAAACATTTCGCTGTGAGTAGACGTATCTATATACGGTAGAGTGACCATTTCTAAATAAATTCGTCTCGACAAACGTGCATATTTGCCGCTGTCTTCAGATTAGTTACCAGGACGACTCGTACCCGGATTGTGTTGTTGGAGTCCCGGAAAACAAGACGGCGTCTATTGCGAAAGCCACAGCGATTCAACCAGCTACTGTAAGAGACTCCAAATATTTGTCAGTAGGGCCTCCCCCGAGGTTTATCATTGGGGAGTGATGGGCGCTAGAAAAATGGCACGGAAAAACCAAGTTATTTCAATAGTCTGACCAGCTGTCACCGCGACGAATTGCCCTATGACGAAAGGACCCACTATAAATTCTTTCGATGAACACTCCATGAGCCGTTTTTAGCCTAACGAGTCGTCCAAATGAAATACCCACCGGTGTTTAAAAAGTAAGTAAACACGGAGAACATTTGCCGATTCTTCTCATTAATAAACGCCGGAAAATACACACCCTACTTATAAGTTAATTTTGCTTTAAAAACCAATGCATACAGCGCAGCACAAAAAAAAAAAAAAGTTTGACGAGATACGTGTGGTACCAAAAATATTGGCAATGCCAATCTTTTTTGGTCATGGAAGTCCCCAATTAAGGTGCTAAAAGTTCGTCCGCGAGAGTAAATCAACTAATCTGTGGCCACTTGACTTTATCCAATATTTGCCACCATTTCCGAAAATAACTGATGCACCCCCGATTACCCGTGGGGCAGTGCATACCAAATGAAACATTGTGTTAAAAAGTACTCGCACTTTACCTTGAAAGTAGATTGTATTTATACTATTAAACTGCATTGCATTGCGCCCAGTGTACTTATTACTCGAAGTACTTAACCTCTAATTTACTTTGCACTTTTTAGATGTACTTTAGCCCCAACACCGATCAGATCTATCATCCTCATAAGTATTCTGCCCCATGTGAATATACCAAAGGTCCTATGCCCTTTGATTTATGCCTGGTGAGTTTTCTGTCACAATTATTTCGTTATGTCGTAATTAGCAACATACTGAATTTAAGTATATATATATATTCAGCAACATTACTTTATTTAATTTGCGTATTTAAATACTCGTTCAGGTCTTATTTGTTCAGTATTTCCTCGCTTATATTGTCTTACTTTCTGTGCCTGGAGACTGCGGCGGATCCCTAATTCGCTCCAATCGTACACATGTCCCGTGACAGGTAGACTGACGCCTCAGCGGCTTTCAGGGAGCTAAAATGCAGCCTAATTGAGAGCCAGAACTGTTTCGTATCGAAATCACGCCAGAACTGTTTGTTAAAGTACTACATGAATCATTTGCCAAGATTATCTGCGTCCGTCGGGGACAAAGCGATGAACCGGGCGAAGCCACGTTGACTACGCCAGCTGCAACGGACACCTCCTTGAAAGTAGCCCAACGGAACCCCCGTTCTAATCACTCGCAACTCACGAGCCAGGTCGTGCTCCAGTGGCCTCCGTGCAGCACCATTGCTCGCGCTCGGAGCAGAACCTGGCCACCATCGATTTTTTGCCTCGGGCCCCCGCGCAGTTCGAAAGCGAGAACCCAGGCGTCGTCTGCTGCGCGCCATCGACGCGATCGATGGAAATCGCGGTCGCCGGCATCGGACAGGGCAGGGCCGGAGAAATCAGCCACCACAAGGACAGTTAAGGAAGGGACTCGAAACGCCGGTTCTTTTTCTTAGCGGAAGGAGTGCGACGACATACGCCAGCTGATCATGACATGATAGATGACCAAGACGACGGAACAGATTAGCTACCTTTAGAAGTTTGTTACGCTTCGCCAGATACAGGGAGAACCGACTGGGGGGAGATCGAAAGTCATCGTATCATTCAATTGCAATTGAATGCAAAGGTGCAAGCGAGCTGGACAAGAATTACGAAATAATCCCTGGAGATTAATAACCCGGACCAGGCGGATTTTTTCGGTCGCGCACCAGTCACCTAGCTGTGCTTGGAGATTTGTGTTTGTTCTTTGTCCCTCTTGTTCCCTTTCTCCAGGGACTATTTTCATCGTATCATTTTTTTTCCCCTTGACTGCGTAGAACATGGATTACACGAAAAAGTTCACAGGCTTACTGTCTATTTTTAATCGCTGTGTCTAAAGTGCAGTCCGACGGCTCTCTTGCAGAGCGTTCAAGTGCCGTCCGAAAGTGTTAAGCACAAGTCACGCTTACTTTGACATGTGTTCCATCAGCCGCTCGCCGACAATTTGTTTTAATATAAAGCAGGAGCGAGACGAACGCTAGAGGAGTGAGCAGCATGCTTTCTTATGTTTATGCCTGCGCGATCTTCTCAAGTTTGCCGACGTGGGACTCTCTCGAATGTTCCGATTGCGATTTAACTCTCCTATCCTCCGGTGACAGCAGCAGCCTCTACAAAATAAATACACACACACACACAAAAAAAAAAGTTTCCAAGGCACGCGCGTATCGAACCTAAATATTTGAAAACCATAAAGTACAAGCCAGGCATGCTAACCATTACGACTCAGGGATACCATCCTTTAGTTTTCAGCTATAAATAAATAAATAAATAAAAGGCACAGCGAAAGCAGGCACACTCGGTGACAACTTTTCTTGGCAACGCAGTGGAGGGTACAGGCACAAGTTCCCTCTCCCATTTTGAGCGCGAGGTGTTGGCTAATAAAGCTGCGCGCGAGCTCTCCTCCTCTCCACTGCATTGCCAAGAAAAGTTGTCGCCGAGTGTAATTTCGGCCACAAAGTGCCAAAACCAAGCAGGACGGCATTTGCGCGCGCGGTAGGACAGCACTCGAATACGGCACTTGACGCTTCGCAAGAGCGTCGTCGTACGGCACTCTAGACACTGAGATTTTTCCGTCAAAGAGTGAGAGGCACGCGGTTCGACTGTGGGCGAACTGCAAATTCTCAAACCATTTGGTTTTCGGAGTCAAAAACAAAGGCCCAAAAGCAACTGTGCTTGTGCACCGCCAGAAGGTACCATGCCACTGTCTTACCGCGCCCACCTGGAAAGGAATTAGATAACATCTTTTCAAAATTAAACCAAGTCGCAATATCCGATCGGCAAAACTTGATTCCACGTCTTCCAATGATCAGCCAAGCACGGTCGAGGGAAACGAAAAGCTTCTGCGCGTCCTCCATCGTTCCGGACGGTCCACAAGTGCAGAACGTGGCCGTCTCCGAAGCAAGCCTCGGGGGCTTAAATGATGCGTTCTGCGAAGCCCCCGCCGTCCACCACGGCCCTGCCAAGGTCGACTCGCGCAAAGCTATGGCTTGGACGTCGCCGAGTGTCACGGATCGAACCAGCGAACAAACGCAGATAAAGTGCGAGTCGACGATGTGGCACGAGGAGGCCACCGGCGGCCAAAGGGCCAAAGTGGCCAAGTCTCGGCAGCAGGCAATCGCGCGCGTCGATAAACGTGAGCCGAAGCAGGCCAGGGTACCGAGCCAAGGGTTCGGCGGACGACCGAGCGAACCCGGTTGAGAGCCCCGGAAGTCGAGCGAAGAAGCACGCCAGCAGCAGGCTTTGACCAGGAGGGGCATCACGTGATGCCTCCTGCCAGACAGCAGATCGGCTGCGCGCAGAGCGGATGGGAGGCCGACGCCGGTCCGCCCAACTTTTCCAACCAGCCGTCCCCAGTACACCGCGGACAGTCATCGGTGCATCGCGGCTAATCCAAGTGGGCGCCGATCCTACCTCGTGTGTTCCGCAGAGACCGGATAGCAGAGCGACGCCACCGAGGACGGGTGTGACGCCGTGCATCTGCCCAGTTGGCACACTCCAACATGGCGCCCCAGCCTTGTCTGCGGGCCCGGTACAAAGAAACGCCTCTGGGCAACGCGCACTCGGCTTCTCACAGGTGAGTCCTGATGCCTTTCTCTGCACCAGGATTCTGCATGCGGGATGCGATTGGGCCGAGCAGCGCTGGCGCTGAGATCAGTGGGAGAACAGGGCACGGTCCGTGCGTCCGTACAGAGCAGGCACAGAGGATGTCTTGCTGCGTCGGAGGTACCATGTTGAATGGAGAGCTCTCCGGCTCGGCAGACGGCTTTCACACGCGGTTGCAGCCCCGCGGTGGCCACCGTTTAGTGATCGGTGGCAGTGCCGGGGTCACTTTGAGCTCCGACAGGCCAGGTAGCAGCGACGTACTACAGCCGTACCGGAGTATCTACCGATGGCAGCGGCAAGGCTCCGCGTGACGGGCAACACTGGGCCTGAGCGTTTTTGTGACTTTTACTTGCTCGTTTCCGGCGGCGGCCGCGATGGCGATCCGTCTGGTCCCGCAGCGGATGGTCAGCAAAAAAGCCTCCGTACCTCCGTACTATCCGTACCGACGCTGCGTGCCTGGTCGAAGCCGACGCCCAGCTGCTTATGTGAGCGGAAGGATGACGGAGAAACGCTGCGCCATTGCAATGGCAGCGCCCGGCTGCCAGGACTTTTCTCATGTGCGCTATGGCCTTCGAGTTGTGGAGGAGGCCGTTGGCCCATTTCTTGCCGTCGCGAAAATCCGTTTCTGGGGGGCGTTTTCCGAATCGTTGGCGGTGCTAAGACCGACCTCCAGTAGGACATCTCTGATGAGGCGCGCTCTTTGCCCCGCAGGACGGCTGGTTTCGTTGGCTGGTGCTGCTCTCAAGTGGACACATGGCCAGAGTAATGTATATCCGTGCTTTTGCAGTGATCCCAGGGGACTGTATGGGCCATGGTGCTGCTGCCGATTGCAAGCCGATGTGTGAGTTCTCGCAAATGCATTTGAATGTCACAGTGCCTGTCCACTGAACCAACTTAGTGTGTTGCCCTTTGTGCCTCCCCCATTTTGCAGAACCGACACTGCCAAGAGTTGCTGCCTCACATAACCAGAGGGTGCCTTGGTTGACTATCGTTGTCGAGAGATCAGTGTGGCTCTTAACTACTCTGTCTTACGTTGCTATAATAGGACAAGACGCAAACTTCCTATGAGGACTCGTGTCATGGCTGTGTACAATTGTGACAGTTGCAGTTTTGTGGGAAAAAACCGGAAGCACCTAGCCAACCATGTAGCCTTAAACCATAGCACCCGGGTGTATCGATGCACCCTGTGTTCATTTGTCACCCGGTACCAGGCCAACTTCTATCGTCACCGGCGCAGCATCCACAAGCTCAACAGCGCTAATGTGTGCGAGATGTGTGGCCGGCTCTGCGATAACCAGGATGAACTTGTTGCCCATACATCCAACGACCATCCTCAGTTCCTGGATGTTCTCCTTCGAAAACTTGAAGCCAAAAGGGCTCGGTATGCCAAGTACACAGCGAGAGCAGACACGGACGACCTGGATGATGCCGCAGAGGCTGTTGTGGAGATTAAGGAGGAAGTCCTATCGGAGAATGGCGCAAAAGAAGAGGAGCGCAAGCGACAGAGGAGCAGCTCCCCGCCAGCGTCGAGCAAGAAGGGGCGCACAGGGCGGAGGACCTACACCTGTGCTGAGTGCTCCTTGGTGACCAAATGGCCACGGGAGTTTCTGAGTCACAGGAAAGACGTCCATGGAGACCGGATAACCATCCATGACTGTCCGTTCTGCGAGTATGCCTCCAAGCAGCCGCAGAAGCTCCAGCGTCACTGCAACATAGTTCACAAGAAGGAAATGAATGGCGAAGATCCCAAGGACTTCCTGAGGGCAGTGGTGACCCCTGAAAAGCCGCCACAGAAAGTGCACCCGCCACCTGGGTTCAAGTGCAGCAGTTGCGCCTTCCAGGCTCGAAGCCGGGTGCTGGTCGAGGAGCACGAGAAGACGACGCACTTAAAGCGGCGCTTCTATCGCTGCCAGCAGTGTGGCTACATGTGCCATGAAAAGGGGCGCTACACTCGGCATCTGCGTTTCCACAGTTTGCCCAAGATCAAGTGCCAGTTGTGCGACTTCCAAACATGCTACAAATGGAACATGGACCGCCACCTCAAGTACCACGCGTCGGATGGGGAGTTTCGGTGTGACCGGTGTGGTTTCACGACCATGTCGCGCAAGAGCCTTACTGCGCACTGCCTTCACCACCACAATGAGAACTTGAAGGATATTTCGGACAGTGATGCAGACAAGACCCAGGAAATGGAGAATCCGGAAGACGATGAAGACGATGACCGACTCATGATTGACGAGGATGCAGAAGAGGACGACGCATTGCAGCCACCCTTAAAAATGACGCTGAAGAGGTCTGGGGACACGGCTACGGTGGAAAGTACGCGCTCAGCTATGCAAAAGTGTCGCTACTGCCCACAGAAGACCACGTGGCCATCCGAGATGAAGAAGCATGAAGCAACCCACTTTAAGATGACCAAAAAGCATGGCTGCCCACTTTGCCATATTCGCTTCGACCACCTCGAACACTTGGAGACCCATGTGATGAACGACCACCAAGAAGAGGACGAGCACTCGGCAGACACTTCGAGTGCTGGGATTGCTGCAGTGCGCACCACCAGTACACCTATTATCATTGAGCTTGGCAAGTCTGAAGAGCTGAATTCCCGAGCGAGCTTCTCTGGTTCATCTCAAGCACTGGACATCTCCATCAAGAGTAAACAGCCAATGCAGACGTGCGGCAGCTGTGGATACACTACACGCTGGATTTCGGAGCTGCGGAAGCACGAACTGGTTCACGGCAACCTGAAGCCCTTCAAGTGTACCTACTGCTCATACACGAGTCGTTGGAAAGGGGACATGACGCGGCATGTTTTCAGAATGCACAAAGAGAACTCTGGTGGCTGTGAGGGCCAGGAAGGGGATGTGGAGCAGTCCAAGTCTAGTCATGTTTTGCGATTTTTGCTGTCACAGCCCAAGAATGCCGACCATGACTATGATTCGAAACCCGTTGAAGCAGAAATCAGTAAAGTAACCGAGAGATCTGCTTCTAGGCATCAGGGCTCGCATCAGCCAGGCACCCCGTCGGGGAAAGTGGTGCAGAAGTACAAGTGCCCCCAGTGTTCCTTCTTGACCCGAACAGCGTCACGGTTCCACGTGCATATGATTCAGCACTTGAACAAGCGACCCTTCATGTGTTCAGCCTGCAACTACCGTTCCAATTGGCAGTGGGACGTGAATAAGCATATCAAGACAAAGTCTGCTTACGACACAAGCCACAAAAAGGCGGATCTGGTTGTCATGGACGAAACTGGATTTAAGAACTACTCCAAGTACAAAGTACACCTTGTGGATGTAGAAGAAACTTCCAAGGGAGACCGAATTCTGCAGCCAGCTCCGTCTGCCAAAGACGTTGCAGATGAGGACGAAACCGAGAACATTGTTGTAACCCCCGACATCCTTTATGGAGACCAAGATGATCAAGACCCTGGAGCAGTGGCTGCTGAGCAGGGAGGAAATCAGCAGTTGCTGAACTGCGGCCATTGCAGCTTCAGCCATGCCGACCGTAAGGTGATCGTTACGCACCTAGGGTCCCACACGGGAGTCAAGCCTTACCGTTGCCGCCTCTGTGACTTTGTTTCAAAGTGGTATCACATCGTCCTGATGCACGTGCGGCACCGACACAACACAGGGCCGCGGGACATTGAGAGCAGGGTGTCGTATGTTGAAGAAGGCGGGACATTCCGGTTGGCAGAAGAGGACGATCAGCCTGCCCCTGCTGTGCCTCAAGGGCCGGTAGAGGAATCAAAGATCTTCAGGTGCAGTGCATGCCCGTACCGCTGTTCCAAAGTCTGCCACATGGAGTTTCATATGAAACAGCATGTTCCAAAGGAAGGAGCAATTTACAAGTGTCCCCACTGCCCCTACTATGTTAACATCAAGAAGACTCTGGCTCGCCATATGAAACTGCATGAGGCTGAGGGGCAGCAGCAGCCCTTGGAAAGCATGCCTTACCAAATGCCACTCAAGATGGACATGAAGAAGCACACATGTGACTACTGCCCCTATACATCAGATAACAAGACACAGTACCTGTACCATAAGCAGTTCCATCGGCCCAACAAAAACGCACCATACAAGTGCACCCACTGCACATACTGGTCCACTCACAGCCACCTGATGGCACAGCATCAGAAGATTCACCGCATAGGTGAGGCCAATGGCATGCCTCAGCATACCCCAGATGGAACACCATACAGTGGTGGCATCCAAGCCATGACAACTATGGTGAATGGAACTGCCCGTCGTATGTTTAAGTGCCGCTTCTGTCCCCTAACCAACAAGCGCCGCGCTAACGTGAAGGTTCATGAGCGTATGCACATGGGTTCCAAGGGTGCCAAGTTCCAGTGCGTCCTCTGCAGCTACCGCTGCAACAACACCGGGGTGCTCGCCAGCCACATGAAACTCCATAAGGCCGAAAACCCATCTCTGGATCTAAACCGAATGAAAACCTTTTGTGAGAACCTTAACTCCCTCACTGAAAGACCAGTGGTTGTGAAGCAGGGTGTCTGTGACATGACGCAGAGCTTGAGCTCGGTGTCTTCAGCGAACAAGATGAAGCCATCGCCACGCAAAAAGATCTTCAGCTACTTCTGTGACAAGTGTCCGGCCATGTTTAAGAGCCACACGGACCTGGACACTCACAGAACGTACCACAGCTCATCCCACCTCTATCCTTGTCACCTGTGCGACTACAGAGCGCGACATAAGCCACATCTGCACAAGCACCTCCTCGTGCACACACCAGAGTATGCGGAACGCCAGAACGGGTTCACGCTGGCAGAGATCCGCAGCCAGGACCGGAGTCAGCAACAGGCCTCGGCCAGTACCCCCGCTGCGTCGACACTCGCTACTGCTGACCAAATGCTGCTCCTGGAGGAAGCCGAGACGCGTGCCTTTGTGGATAGTGGCTCGCAAGCACTGAAGCTGCACCGATGCAGCCGTTGTCCGGCAACCTTCCAGAAGGCTACTACCCTCGATTACCATGTGGGGCTGCACGGCAGCCCCGGTGTGTATGCCTGCCACTTCTGCAACTACGCTGCCAACAGCTCCGCCAATGTGAGTGCACACACACACCTGCACTACCGTGGTGCCCTCAAGCAAAAGCAACCTCCCAAGATGTTCAGCTGTGACAAGTGCCCCGCATCATTCTCCAAATACAACCGCTTTGAGAGCCACCTCACACTCCATGGACGTAAGGAACGTTTCTGCTGCACGCACTGTGACTATTCTGTCAGGTTTGCCGCCAATTTGGTCAAACACCGCAAGCTTCATGAGAAAACCCCAGCACCTGAAACTGGGGAGCCTACTGCAAAACCCACACCAGCCATGCCTTCTCTGGTGACTGCACCTAACATACAGGAGCCTTCAGAGAAGGTTGTCCAGTTGAACACGATGACCCCCATGTTGGACATTGAGGCAAAGGTGACACAAGCCCCAGCTGAGGAGAAGCGTATTTATGTGTGCAGTCGGTGCCCATACACATACCACCGGAGAGACACAGTTGCAAACCACTTGCGGCGGCACGGTGCGTCTGACGGCTCTGCATGCAGCTTCTGTGACTACCGAGCAGCCCACGTGTCGACGCTGCGTGACCATGTCAAGTGCCATTTTCAGCCGGCACGGCACAATAAACCGCAAGCTTTCATGAAGTGCGACACTTTCGAGGTATGGAGCAGTGATGGTGACGGTGCGAGGTTACTGCTCTTTCGGGATGGCGGGAGTGGCAGCTACTTCCCAGAGCATGTTGGAGAGCTTGACGATGAGGAAGTGTCTTCACTGAGCCCTATGCCGTCGAGTTCCACCTCGTCTAGTCCCTCCACGTCAAGCTCAGCTTCATCGGCTAGTGCACATTCACCTGGGTTGCCCTTGCAGAAGGAGGAGCTTCCAGAGGTGTCCATTAAACAGAAAACGGACGATGTAATTGCAGCCAGCAAAGAAACTTTGGATGACCTAGTCAGCAACGTCGTTGTGTTGAATGACACCAAGGACGACTTGCTTCAAAACTGCAACACCCAGGTTGTCAACATTGTGGTCTTAGACAACAGTGGAAGGAGTGCGGATGAGCACGAGGCTTCAGAGATTCATGGAACTACAGACGTTCACGAGGCTGTGCACTTGGAAGGACGAGAAGAGAGTGTATTAGAGAAAGACGAGGGAAAGGGAGAAAGTGCACAGGACCTTTTCAACCGCATCTGTAATCCAGGTGGAATGGAATTCGACGACGTTGAAGATGAGAAGGAGGTCTACGTTGACAGTGTCGATGAAGACGTCGATGAAATTGAATGTGAAACGGTGGCTTTGGTGGACAATATGGAGGAGGAGGAGATTTCTGTCTTGGAAGATGAGCAAGAGGAGCATCTGGAGTCGCCAAGCAAAAGACAAGACTTGAAAGATGAACCGATTGAAAATGATTTAGGTGAAGTGGACAAAAAGGAAAGTTTGGAAAACAAAGCTGTGGATGAAGAGAAGTTGGTGGAGAATAAGTGTGGAGTGAAGCAAGAAACTCAATACATCTCTGAGACTGTGTTGACTCGGAACCCTTCTTTTCTAGAAGATGGGAATGCTGAGGTGATGGACGATTCCTGTACAAATGTGCCTGGAGATGTTCATCAAGCTTGCAAGTCAGGCACTATACAAACAGTGGAGAATTTGTATGTCCCGAGTAACACTTCTGTAGAAGACCACGGTAGAGACCAACTACCTGCATATTCTAATGGAGCAGAGCTTCGGAGTAACCTAGCTCATGCCTCGGGAGACTTCATCGAAATTGAAGAGGTGTTCAGAAAGGACATCTTCTCCGAAGACTCCAGTCAAGTTGAACTGGAGGTTTTCAGCAACTCTAAGGAATTTGAGCATCTTGATGAGGCATCACGAGACTCTGCTAAGGAACTAGAATCTGTAAAGTACATGGACCAGCCCATACAATGTTTTACTGAAGAAGTGGAGCTTGCAGGGAACCTCAAGGATTCAGTGCAAGGTTCTGTTGAGGAAGACGAACCTGTGGGCAAGTCTCACCGACTGCTACCGGGATTTTTCAGTGAGGATGGGCCTGCAGAAAATCGCAACATGCAGGACTTTGTCAAGGAGGTTCCAGGTACTAACCTTGACCAACTGCCCAGTGCACTTGTTAATGTGGAGGAGGCTGTCAACCAACCTGCAAAATTTGTACAGGACATTGTTGAGGAGGAAGTGCTTGCAGATAACATTGACTGTCTGGCGCATGCCTTTGTTGACAAGGAGCAGCGGCCTGTACAGGACCTTGGACCAATGGGGCCGGACATTGTTAATGGTCAGGAATCAGTAGGAACCTCCGAACAACTTGCCAAAGACTTTGTGGATGAGGTTGAACCTGTTGGGGACCTTGGGCAAGTGGAAGAGGAAGTTGTCAGTGAGGAGGACCATGCAGAAATCCTTGACCAGCAGGTATTGGAATGCCTTCACCACCCAACACGGGGTCTTGAACCACTGGAACAGGAAGTTACCAGTCAGGGTGAGCTTGCAGGAGTCTTTGGCCATGCAGTACAAGAAGTAGAGGAGCCTGCTGGAAATCATCCAGTGGGCAACTTGGCTAAGGCAGAGGGACCTGCAAAAGACTTTGGTCAAGCACTTGAAGGCCTTGTTGAAGAGAACAGGCCTGCAGAAGACTTAAATCTACTGGTGCAGAAGCACATTGTTGAAGAGGTCAGACCCACAGAGGACTTTGATATACCAGCGCAGAAGAATGTAATTGAAGAGCCTGTTGCATCTCGAAATAGGGACGATTACCCAAGCCCCAGCAAGGTTGTCTGCCTTCAGACTTCCAAGGAGTTGAAAGTGCCAGGAGATCTTAAGAAATTGCAAGGTGATGCAACACATTTGACTATTTTCCAGGTCCAGTGTGAACAGAGCAGTGAAACAGACTCCAGTGGTGTTGAAAACGAGAGTGGTGTTAAGCCCAAAGACTCTGTCAAAGAGACAGCTCGGGCATCAGTATTGTCTAAAGCTGATGAAGTGGTGCTGGTGCCACAGGACGTCTTCGAGATGCAGTCGCCCACCATACAAACACCAGGTCCACCGGACGCCGAGCCCAGCATGGAAGTGAAGCATGTCAGCGTGCTGTTCACTGCTGCCGGGTCTCATTGATACTACTGTTTCAGCACGAGTGCTCACAGTCCATGGCAGCTGTGCAGATGCATCAGCTTAAAGCTGGTACAAACTGCACCAAATGGTTTTAGCTTGGTTCTGTGCGTAGAGTTGTGAGTGAACTTTTGTTTTCTTTAGGTCACTTGACTGCAGTGAAATCATTGAAAGCTGTTCATGTGCACTGGCATATTTTAATAAGAGTACATCTAGTTTTTCACACATTATGAAAAGAACCAAAACGTGTTTATCTTTCTGTGATTTACACTTCTAAACTGCATAGCCAGGTATGCTGTCAAGGAAGTTTCTTTTTTGTTTTATTAAATGGAATGTGTTTCACAGCTCTGTATATTCTGTCTTGTAGAAGTGGCTGGTAATTCTTTTTCTATCAAGCTGTTGCAATGCATTTTGAACTCTCAGTCGTATGGATGAATATGTGCCCTTCCTGCTCGTGTGTTTTAGCAGAATGGTTTTATTTACTGATGCAGCAGGCTTCCACTAGTTGGGACTGGAACATGCCTGCACCAGGGTGGAATGTCCACCTAAAGAGTAAAGTGTGTTTTGCCTAAAAGGGCTCACCTTTCTCCATTTCCTTTGTGCATACATGGTTGTTTTGTGCAGAAGGCTGAATATTGACAGATAATGTGCCCATCTCGTGCCAGCAAGCATTGGTATGGCAGTGGAACACATTCCTAGTCATGTGGGCAGACTGGCCGATTTGTGGCCTGGCCACCTTTCAAGGATCGACATAGTTGTGGATCAATAAAGTGCACCCATACCAACGCCAGGGATTTTGTGGACCCCTACTTGTCACCTAGTTCCAAAGAGGGTTTCGCTGTTATTGTCAGTCACCCATTTTCTTTCGCTCACGTTTCGCTGTCGTGCTTTATGCCTGTAGCTTGTTTCAACGCCATTAGTATGTTGGCATCGGATTATTGAAATTACTGGGCATCGCAAAACATTATTTTTTTGTTGTTTAAGTTAAATTAGCATTGTGTTAGGTGTAAATTTTATTTCAGCATTCAACGTTTTAGGTATATTCTAAATGTTAGTATAATGTTCAAATTGAACATAACATTGTGTACAAAACATAAAATCATTTAATGCATAACTAAAACCAATGTTATGAAGTCAATGCAGAACAGTAAATTAATGTTGTAAGATGCAATATTGAACTGTTTTGATAACATGTTTCCAAGGTTATTTTGCAGTTCATAATAAAACGATAACAAAATGCAAAATAGTAAAATAATGTCACAAATAATAACACTGAAATAATCTGGTTTGATCACATTTCTGTTATTTCAAAGTTCCAATAATTGTTGCAAAACAAATTGAACAAATTATTGGACAATGTTTTTTTAATTATTCGAAGTAACAGTGAAACACCGCAGTAACAATTTGTTTATTGGTTTAATATTTTCGAAACTATAACATTTGACAAATGTAAGAAAATGTAGTACACTATTTTAGTTTCAAATTTTATTAAAATTTAGTGTGAAGGTACAAAAAATGGCAAGGAAAATGAAAATATATGCTATGATGTTTTTTTGCATTTAATGTCTTTTACCCTGTAAAGATCAAACTGTTTTGAAGCTTTTATGTAACGGCTGCAAACTCCAGACAACGGGAAATCATCTTATCGTAAAGTATGATCCATAGAAAGACTGACGATAAATAGTATGCCCAAACGTTGCCCCTGTTTACTTCTGAAATTTTGTTTTTGTTTTGTTTAGTTAAAGTGTTAGAAAAATTGATGTTCCTGATCTCACTTTTGTTTTTCCAAAGATTATTCTAACAATCGGAAAATGTTCTTACAGCATACATGCAATGTCTGTAAAACATTAAGCACAAATATAAATCTTCCTTGAAGCAGCACTTTCTGCACAAAAAGAGGTTTTCCACAAAAGTGCCGTCTATCATAGTAATGTTATGCCATAACATAATTTCTTTTTAGATCTGCTAAACCTCTAATTAAGCTGCTGAACTCCAGGTGATGGAGTTTGTGCTTGTAGGAGCACAATAATAAATAGAGGAAAGCAGCAAATGAAAACAGGACGAGACATCTTGGCATAACGTCGTATCATTTTTGTTACTTCGTCATTTATGCTACTGCAATGCTTTCCTGCCAAGGACTAATTACAGGCACCAATCAGTTGGCCATAATGCCACTCAGTTCATGACTTGACAACAGAAATTAAGTCAGCCTAGCATGTGTACCAATGCAAAACAATGCAGAATTTTAAACAAGAAAGAAAACATGATTGACAGGACAAAAGATCCTCTCCAAAATCATCTCGGCAATAGTTGATCCTGCGCCGTAGCTTCTGAGGCATTTTCACAGTGCAGCAGTACACGCATGCCACTGATTATGCAGACGGGGGCACAGTGTGCTTGTTTCACTTGTTTTGGTTGTGTTTCACACGAATAAATTCCCTTCTCTTTACCAGGGAGGCCTGGGGGGAGGTGGGGATTATGTCGACGAGGGAGCTTGTGGAAGCGATGATGTGTATCACGACAGCCCTTTCTTCATAAACAGTCACTCGGCTTGCCAGCTCAATCCTGCCAAGGTCCTTGCTACGTTTCCTTGGCCCCAAGTGACCTGCATCGTGCTACAATCTACTAAAGAGGTGCCCGAAGGTGATGGAGTGTGCCCGGAGCGCCAGGGATTTACACATCCCCCCACAAAGAGACGGACACCACCTCAAAATATATGCCCCTAACACCCTTACATAAACAGTGACCCCCTTTTTCTCCCCTTCAATTTGTTTTCTCCATTGGAGAAAACAATGTTTTTTTTTGTTTTTTTTTTCCCTTTTTACTCCAGGGGAGTAGTGTCTTGATACTTCCTAATAATGAGTCCACCACCTTCGGGCATCTCAGTAGTAAATCATAGCGGGACGAGTTGAGAAGCCAATTTATGTAGTCCCTTCGAAGGACCAATGAAACATGAGAAGAGAGTCATAATCTCAAATTGCGGCTAGCGGGAGAATATGGCTTTGGGAACCTGTTGAACACTATGAGCGCGCTGCTGATGGTGAGGTGCACCGCAAACCTCTCGGTACTGGTATACCGCCAAGTTTCGGTTTCCATTGGCACCTACGGTGCGGCATCACATAGCGACTGAATGCACTGCTTGCAGGTCTGTCCAATACGTACCTCGCCACTCAAATCCTGCCTCTGTGGGCTCAGTTTTAAGAAAACATTTCAGTAGTGATGCAGCATAATCAATATTCGGTTAGTGCAAGCCCCAAAGGTGTTTGGTTTGCCAACAGCTTGCTCTTTGTCACATCAAGTTGAGCCTCACAGGCACTTGGTGTACAGGCGACACGCCTTTCTGTGATGCCTGCGCCCTCACGAAGAAATACTACTCTTACAAAAAGTGGCTTCCCTACACGCCCGTCACTGGCAGAAGAAAATGAATTAAAAACAAAAATATTGCTCTCCCTACTGCACAAAAACAACTGCAAACTCTTCCTCATATCCACATATATCTCCCACCCAAATTTTATACTGATTGGAAACAAAGTATTTGCAAACCCCGAAGATCGGCTGCGACGGGGATCACGTCGAATAGTCCCAACGGCGGTCCCCTGCTCCTCGGTAACGGCCGCTGGAAGGCTGTGTCTAAACAGCGGCCCAGTTAGGAATGTTGATAAAATACTAGCCTGAAAAATCATATCGGGAAATCTTTCAGTGCGTAGAACTCTTCCATGGTTTCACCAGAGCTTGTGTCAATCTTCGAATACTATCTCGGTAAAGGACTTAATTTCTCGCACACACGCTCGGGGATTGCATCACAAGGAATATATTTCAACATCGTTCAGCCTAACTGACCACCATAATAAGAAACACAATGCAAGGCAGTGAAGCCTATGATCCCCACCATCCGACGATCCTTTCAGTTCTGTGATGCCACGCAGTTGCTATGGATGTCAGCCATTGAGTCTTGCGAAATCAAGTGTGTAGTTTCATACCTGAGCTTATGATGGGCTTTACGATTATCTGGAGGCAGAACTCATGCAAGAAGCACAAAGAAAGGCAGTGCGAATGGAGGATGACGACGAGGCCAGCAGAAAAGACCGCCAAAGACTAGCTTTATCGTACAAAGAAAAACTTGTAAACAACATGCAGGAAAGGTTTTTTGAGGAGTTTTTAGAGCTGGCAAGATCTCACGAAATTTTGTTATCAAGGGAGGGAAATCTAGATTTCAGAAAAAGCGAAGAGGGCAATATAAGATCTACCGAAGATATCCCGGCGACCTGGCTTCTCGGAAAGAACTGCTGGCACTTGCATCCGGAGTCAAGAGGACAGTCACGTTTCCTGCACCGTCTGCTGCGGCAAAGATCTTGCTTCCTCCCGTTTCAACTGCTGATGCAGAGAGAACGTTCGCAACCATGGACAGGATCCTTACCTCGGAAGAGTTTTGTCCGACTCCCGCTCATTTAGGTGCCCTAATGAAAGTTTCCGTCGAAGGCCCCAACATTCCCAACATTAGAGATGCCATGGATGAGGAGACGGACCAGTACTGTCAGTTTAACCATAAAGCTTCATATCTGGGCATACGAACCATGTGGTGCCTTTTAAAGGTTTCTTTTTGCTCTCGGGTTGCATTAAGATGCTTTTTATGTTCTGCACATCTACATGCGACTATTGCAGGAACTATATTTCGTGCAGTACCACAAAGGCAAGTCAAAAGAACCATGACAGAGCGGTACTGGGAGGAGAGAAGCATTTGGTGTAGAGGACTGCAATCTGTAGCTATCACGGACAAGTTGTGTAAAACCTGTATATAAAACATTGTTTTTAAATATTCTGTTACAATCTTCTAGACTTTCTGGCACCAGCTGCTGTAGACAAGATGTTTTTTGTTTTTTTTTAAATGTCACCAATGCATTTTAAATTTTTGGCCATGCCGAAAATATTGATATGAGGCTTTATTTGTGGCCCTCCAAGAATAAAGCAGCTCCCCTTAAGATGTTTAGGACCTTTACTGTGTTTATAGGTACAGTAAACATACATATACAATATATGTCATCGCCCAGTGGTTTTGTTACGTCGCACACGGCAAAGCCTAGAGAGGATCGTCCCCAACAGCCCAGTTCACTGGGCATGGCGACACCATCGAGAACATGCATGCAACCAAATGCTGGCTCTCTATAGAGGTTAGTACCCATAAGTAGTAATAGGTTTATTGTGAATGTACCCAAGGGTGTCTAGCAAAATATTATTTTGAAATTCCCTGACTTTTCCAGGTTTTCCCTGACAGTTTCAGGTGAAATTCCCTGACCACTGTAGAGGCGATTAAATATATAAGACCATTACTACACAAGGCATTGAACACTAAGGATAATACTGCACGGGCTTAATCTAACTTGCATATTCCGAAATATTCGGGTTCGACCAGTCCGGATTAAACGAGCCCTTTCTTGCTGCCGACATCGTCAGTGAAGAGGCCACTTCCGGAAACATGATGAAAACGCAACATTCAACCACACGCGTCAATAACCGACTGGCAGCAAGGCCGCCAGATGCACTTTCGGGTACTTTCGGCTTAAGGCTTGGACTGGGGACTGCGACTTTTCTATTTGTTACTAAATCTAGTAGCTCTGACTGGATCTAGCCTAGTGTCGCACCCTCAATCCAATCCAATCTAATGCTTCGACTGAAATTGTCGGCTGTTCCCTTTGCATCAGGTAGCGCACTCTACATCGGGTAAGCAGAGCCCGCGCTCCGCTCTAAGCAGAATTTATTGCCTATTTTTCTGCCCCGAAGTTCTCAA